CACATCAGGCTATGGAAGGTGTGGATGAAAGTACAGCTCAGTTTATGGTATAATATTTACCAATTGCTTTAATCACAAAGTACACAAAAACTGTTGTTTTATTGAGCCCTGTGTACTGGGAGAAGATGTTTTCAACAAATAATACTAGCTCACATTCATTGAGCACTTGTCTACACTGGGCACTGGTGTAGCTTTAGCATCTTTCCCTGTGGCCACTCACTCCTAACCCAACAACCTAAGTGCTATCACCACCCCCATTTCTTCAGACGGAGAAACTAAGGCACAGAGCAGTTAGACAACCGCCTCAAGGTCACCCAGCCAGTAAGTAGGTGGCCAAATCAGGAAAAGAATCAGGTAGTTTGCCTTCAGAATTCCCACTTGTAACATGATAGCTGCCTTTTCAATTTTATTTGTATTTTATGGGAAAGAATGTAGTATGAAAAATCTCGGAAAATGTAATGCTGATGGATTGGCTGCTTTGGTTGGAATAATGAAATATTTCCAAATAAAGTTTGATGCTGGAAATGATAAGTGCACGAAATGCTACCAAATGTCTCCAACCAATGCAGTTATTCTGATTAGAATAAGAATATGAATCTTCTCAGTATTTTTAAATAAGATTGGAAGTGACCAAGGAAACATTTTGTACCTCACAGAGAGATTCATCTTGCGACAAAGTAACCAGTTGTTGAACTTAATGATGTTATGCTGTTCCCTGTTTGTTTTTTAAGCTAAAAACACCTTTTCAACTTGCTTTTTCTAAAGAAACCTATGCTATGGAGAAATTTGAAAACCAGCGTCTGGAAAGGTTTTCATTAGTGGTTAATTCTGCTGTCAAAAGTGATGCCTCATCTGAAAGACCTATCTGTATACTTAGGCTCAGAAATAGAACTGGTAGATAGAATTGGAAATTTAGTATCGTGCTGTTAACAGGCACAGTCAAGGATGACTTATCCCATTCCAGCCTGTTTTTGCAATTTCTCTTCCGGCTTAAAAGAAAAAAAAACTTTATTGAGGTATAATTGACATACAATAAACTGCACATATTAGAAAGGTACAATCTGATAAGTTTGACATACGTCAGACTTACACACCCCTGAAACCATCACCACAGTCAATAACTCTTTCGGCTTTGATAGCCATGAAATACAAGGAGACCTTAGAACCTGACTTTCTAATTGCTGTGTTGCAAAGTGTTAGAACACAATTTAAAAATAAGAAGGTGTTGGGGCTTCCCTGGTGGCGCAGTGGTTGAGAGTCCGCCTGCCGATGCAGGGGACGCGGGTTCGTGCCCCGGTCCGGGAAGATCCCACATGCCGCGGAGCGGCTGGGCCCGTGAGCCACGGCCGCTGAGCCTGCGCGTCCGGAGCCTGTGCTCCTCAACGGGAGAGGCCACAGCAGTGAGAGCCCCGTGTACCACAAAAAATAAATAAATAAGAAGGTGTGAGGGTACATAACTCTCCACTCCTTAAGCACATAGCAATGCCCTGCCAGCGAGGGGAGAGGAGAGAAACTTCACAGGGGAGAAACTGACAAACACACCACAGGCAGGTTATCAAGGACGACATGGATAGTGCCAATCATGGGGACAGCTCGTCCCCTTGATATGCTGTGATGAGCACGGCACTTGGCTGTGGTCTTCCTCCCCAGTAACACACAATCCCAGGGTCTTACCATGAGAAGAACACCCCACCAATCCTGGTACAGGAGCATATCCTACAATATGCCTGACCAGTATGCCTCAAAACTTTCGAAGTCATCAAAAACAGGGAAAGTCTGAGGAAGCTCCAGTCGGGAGGAGTTTAAAGAGACACACGTAAGTATGTGATATCCTGGGACAGAAAAAGGACACTGGGTAAAAACTAAGGAAATCTGAAAGAACTATGGACTTTAGTTAGAGAGAGAATGAAAGCAATCACTTTGCTTGCACTAAAACTTGTAATATTTCACTGGACCCAACAGGCTTTGTACCTTTAGTGAATAAAATTTGGAAAAAAAATTTCATCTTTCTTATGCTTCCCAAATTTCCGTTTATGATAGTACATGCATACAGTTTTTAAATGACTCTCTATAGAGGGCGCAAATTTAAAAGGTTTTACTCTTGGAGGTCGCTGCTCTAATCAGAAAGAGCCACCGACTCCAGCATTTTAAGTTCAATCAGACATGGGTTAAGTTGGCCTGAGAACTCCTCGAGATTCCTCAAGAAGTCATGCCCCATCCATTTCAAGGACTCTAGAAAAACGTTTTTTATTTGGGTAGGTCCTGTCCCCTTCCCTGGATACCTGGGCCACTCCCTGAAGAAAAGCACAGCAGCCTGCGATTGTGAAGGCCTGCTAGACCCAGTGCCCACAGAGGGCAGGACAGACACCCTTTCCCCTTATTCATTCTACGTAACAAGGCAAGGCACCGACTCTGTTTTACAAGGACCACTTCACCCTTTGTCCCAGAAAAGTACTGCACGTCCCAGACTTTGGCTCTGTGCTGAGGAACATGTGAGCTGGTGGCTGTTTCAGCTGTGAAATGGGGGGACAGGGGGCAGGTGCCATAGGGCCTTCTGGTTCCTTCCATCAATCTCGCCCGTGTCCACTTCTAACAAGTCACGTCAGACCGTGCGTTCCTTTGGAGGGAACCCTGGGGCCTGTCCAAATTAACTTAGAGACTCATCACGTCCCAGTGTGTCTCCTAAATCAGAGAATCAGCGTCATGGCAACTGAAACCAGAGATTACTAGGACACCTGGGCTGGCTCAGACCTCGACTGCCAGGTTCCGATTTGTAACTGAGAGCAGACGAGGAGGTCGGATGACCTCACGCCAAAGTCCGAGGGGAGCTGCCGGCACCGCAGCCTGCCAGCAAGGTGGGCAGGGCCACCTTCCCCAGAGGGCAAGGCTGAGTCACCAGCAGAAACTAGGGGATGAGCAAGTTTCTCTCAGGACCCTGTGCGGGGAAGGTGCCGCCAGGGAGCAGAGTGGAGCTGGTCTAGGTGAGGTCTGCCCTGCAGTCCCTGCCTTACATACATTTCCTTCCAAATTAAAAAACTAACATCTGCCTATAGCATCTATAGATCTACAGATACAGAGATAGAGCTCTCCATCAATCCAGGGTGAGGGCAACAGGTGAACCTCAGCGCCAGGATGTTCGGATCTACCCTCAGCTCCCTTTGTACTGACCCCATTGGGGTAAAGGAACCCACTGCTATTTCACCAGTCCCAGGCATTTCCGAGGCCCACCACTGACAGCGGTGTGGGTGATGGACACCAGTCCTAAGAGTTGGCCAGTTGGATGAGTCCTGGTTGACAGGCGCCACTTAGGAGGTGACTCCTGGGCCCACTGTCTCCCAGGGCCGACACACACGGAGCAAGGGGATGGACAGTGACAGCTGGGCTTGAGTCTCTGCTTCATCCCTCACCAGGCGGAGGACCTCAGCTTTCTGTAAGATAACAGCCATGCTCTGAAGTTCAGACAATGAAATGAGGCACTGTATACAAAGCAGCTAGCAGATGGCAGGCACTAACATACAGAAAGCTGGTCTGTTAGGTTTGGAACTGAATCATAATGAATGTAGACCCACATTTTCCAGCTGGTATTGCAGAGGGTCAAGTGAAAACACTCTTTAGAACACTGGCGGGAACTGGCTTCAAAAAAATGAAATTTCGTCTTTCTCGCGACCTTTCTGGCAACAAGTTGTGAGGCCAGTGCAGGAGGGAGGGGCAGACGGGGATGTGCTGATCGCTACAGACAACCAGCCTGTTCAACTGGTTTGTCCCAAGGTGCTTCCTCGCCAGAGGCTCATAAAATGCACACTCCCTGTATGTACACACATGTGCACTTATACACAGGTACGCATGTATATGCAAGGGACTCTTAACTGCATCATATACTGTAAATCAGCATCACAGTAAACTAGAGTGAGGACTCTTGAGATCAGCCCCTGCATTTACTCGTACAAGTAGCCGGATGTTAGATGACCAGCGAAAACCACCCCCAGGCACAAAGTGCTGAAAGCAGGCGTGGGGTAAACAAGCCTCCTTCAATGAGAAAAACAGTGCCTACCAGTGGCAGGTTACTTAAGAAACTCAGAAATGGAGGCTGCAAACCTTTCTCTAAAAATTCAGCCACAAGCTCCACTCACTGTTTCCAGAATCAGGAAGAAAAGTCTCATATTAATAAACATTAATTCTATTTTGCTGCACCAAATTCTTAACTTTCGGACTGATTTTATTTCTTTTAGCTAATCATGTAATTCATTCTCAAATTTGATCAAATGAATGATCACTACATGTTTACAGGAATTTATAGGATGTCGATAGCTCAAAAGGAAACAGTTAATTTAGAGAAGAAAACTTTAAAAATTCCTGATGTACAAACTCAGATGGATTTGTCATCATAAAAAGAAGAAATGTTATATGAAATATTAAGGTAAAGCAAGCAGGGACTTCCCCGGTGGTCCAGTGGTTAGGACTCCACACTTCCACTGCAGGGGGGGAACAGGTTCGACCCCTGGTCAGGGAACTAAGATCCCGCATGCCATTCGGTGGAGACACAAAAAAAAAAAGAAGAAGAAGAGAAAGATAAAGCAAGCAGCTCTTATGGAATTTAAAAATATAATTACAAAATTCACTAGAAAGGCTGAAGGTAAACAGAGCAATCACCTAGATTATAGACTAAAACTAAAGAAAAAGGAGCAATCAGGGAGGTCCGAGGTTTAGCCAATTACAATTTTAGAAAACAGAAAACACAGTGGAGGAAATCATTAAAGAAATAATGAAAGACCAGTTCTCTGAGATCAATAAAAACCACCAGCTTTGAGGCTGAAGCACTTTCCCTCTTATTTTTTAAATGAAAAATGGAATTCAAGCCCAAGAGTCCAGCTTCCTGTACCAATTCCTGCCTCTGCCATGCAGTGAGAGACCCTCCAGGGAAAGAAGCACCACTGTCCAGGGCAGAAGGGTTAAAGCCATCACCGCGAGTAATGCCAGGCCAATAAATCAAGGAGTCCTGGTGGAAGTTAAAGTATTTATTGATGTGTTTAAACTCTGTACATTCTCCACAGAGCAGATTAAGGAGTTTGTAGGTGAAGTTTATCTGTGCATAGTGGGAAGAGACACGGATGGGGTAAAGGGGAGGAAGAAGAAAAAAAAACAGTCACAGGGAAATAGAAAAAAAATACACCACAGGTTACCAGAACCTTTAGAATTAAAAAAAAAAAAAAAAAAAAAAAAAAAGGAAAAGAAGCAGCTGTGAGCGTCAACATCAACTATACAAGCATCACAAAGACTCATGTGAAGGAAACAAAATCTTCAAAGCTTTCCATGGGGTCTACAGATCATTCTGTGTACAGCCTGGAGCATCCACCTTCCAGAGAAAAGCAAACCTCCCGCATCCTCCCCAGGATGCCGGCCACCTCCTCCTGCTGTCTTCTCTCAGTGAACGGTGGGGACGGTGGAGACCAGTGCCTTCGGAGGGGGTGGGAAATGGCCAAAAAGGAAAACAGCACATCTGGACATTACTCGGGAGAGAAGTGAGCGGTCAAAAGCTACGGTGACTCAACGGCGGACAGTGGAAGAACGTCAGGTACAAACTACAGGCTACTTTCTGTGGAAGAACTGGATTCAGAAGGAACGCAGTAGTGGCCCTAATCTGTACACACGAGGCTCGCTGAAAGAAGCTGGAACTCAAATGCTTGCTTTGAGCGCCTCCTTGGTGACAGGACTTGTGTGGAGACACCCAGGTACCCAGTGGTGGGCGCACCAGACTTCCAAGAAACTGGTCCTTCAAAGGAATTTTGAGAGGGGGATCATGATGTATTTTAAGGATCAGTTACGGCTCCTTATTTCAGTTAGTTTCTCAGCAACTTTCTGAAAGCTCATTTAAAGCTTTAAATGAGGAATACTGCCTCTTCTTCTTTTAAAATAAAACCCAGGACAGTGAGCCGTAAAGAGCTGATTGACACAATGCGGCCAGAACAAACGGCCTGCATGTAGCACGTACAGTCTATCATTGAAAATCAACATCTTCCATTTCTACAGAGAGCATGTGTGAGACAATACGATAGAAGCGGGACTCCTGATTAATTTAAAAAAGAAAACTACATCAGTCAAATATCTGTAATAGATAATTTTTTCACTTCATTTAAGGTTTATATATCATATATTGTTATATTAACATTTTTTCACCCATTTAAAAAGAATGGAAATTGTGATTCTACAGTAGTACTTTACAGTCTTAATGATCCAGGAGGTCCGAGTGTAAGATGAAATCCTCTGGAAGTAGCTGTCGGTCAGTCGTAGGTCCAAACCTCTGGACATCTGCTGCCCGCCTCACCCCCCCCACTCCAGCCGGGTGTCGTGCTTCACCTGCTTAAATCTGCATCTGCTCCAGGTATTTGTAGGTTGGGTTTTCGTAACCATGATTCTGCATTTTGTTCAGGTGACGCTCTTCTGGGGTGAGCATTGGGTCGACCTGCAGGAAGAAAGACGGGGGTTATCGCGTGAGCCCAAGAGAACTTCCCAGGGCATCAGCAGACCTGAGCTGTACGATCCCTGGGGACCACGGGGTGGACCAAACAAGAGCAGGCGGTGAGGACCCAGGAGGAGGAAAGAGAAAAGAAGAGGGTCAGAGAGGCTAGGCTGCTGAAAGCTGGAGTCCACGCTGGAGAAAACAGTGAGCTGAATCTCCCAGCACCACAGTGACAAGTCTCAGCTCTGCCGCTTCTCTGTGGGGCAGCCTCGGCGAGGGCCAAGGAGAAGGACCAGATGACTTCGGGTCCCCTCCAGCCCTGGAACCCCACAACTAGGCCAGTGTGCAGCAGGAGGTGAAGCCGGATAACTAAGACACACGCATGTGCATTCATTTCCCCCAGCAGATTCTATTCTTTATTGTATTCATTTTCTAGAATAAAGACACTGTGGACATTCCCACCACTCACCAAAAACAAGTGGTAAGTAAGCAGTTCTAATCACAAATGAGCAGAAGATGGAAGAGAAACAGCCTTGTCTGGCTCTTTCTGAACTTCCTGTTGCTCTTCTCCCCATTGAAAAAGAAGAGTCCTATTCCTATTTCATATTTTTAAGAATCAATTCACACACATTGCCATTGTTGCCTGAACTGCCACATACCTGGTTTTCTCCTTATAAAACACGTCAAAAAAAAGCAAACTAATAACAAAGAAAGAAAGAAACAGTATCAGCAGTCCTTCATTCTCAAACATCTGTAACGCACCTGAAAACAATCTGAGAAAACAGTTTTCACCCTGTGCAGCATAAAATGCTCCTGTGCTTTCCTCGCATTCACGGTCGAAGCCCAAATTAATGTTAAGAGTTGGCAACAGCTCTTGTGACGGGATCAACTTGACTCAGCCGAGGCTGACTTCCGAGACGTGACCTAATAATCCAGGGAGTCGTCTAACTGACGCGCAGCCCCTGACAAGACGCTCGAATTCCGCAAGCCCCCCGACGGCTCACCTCCACGATCCCATGGCTGATGGTGCCGTACTGCCTCTTCCTCAGCATCACCAGGCTGATGACGATGACCGTGGCGATGGCCACCGCAATGACCAGCAGACCGATGAGGGCGCTGCTGCTCAGACTGAAGTCCTCCCGCAGGGGCCCCACGGATTCCTAACGTAACGAAGCAGACGTGCGACAAGGTGTGAGAGACGACAAGCAGCGGGGGAGGCGGTGAGCCTCCGGTCGCGCCTCCAAAAACCCAAGGGGGGCACCCGGACCCTGCCGTCCAGGTGGGGGGAGTCCCCACCTTTTGCAATCTCCATGGAGATTCGAACTTGAGCTTTCTTATCCGAAAGCACAGGGGAAATGGGGGACGAGGGACCTTTGATAGCTTAAGATAGCGCAAGGTGCTCCCAGGAGGGAGAGAAAACGGCCGAGGCTGGTGTGGGACCTGCCATCAGGTTTTGGAGCGGGACACATACCGGCCCCTCCTCGAGGCCTCCGACTCTCTCGGCGTTGAGAATCATTTCCTTCACATCCAGGGTCTCGTCAATGACCTGAAACGGGGGCAGGGGGGTCGGGGGAGAATGTCACCAACTGGGAGGGAGGGCAAATTTAGTGTGTTAAGTGTAACTGCTTCTCGTGCCCTCCATTTACCATCTGGTGGAGGGAAGCAGACGCCTGATGGACACCCACTCACCCATAAGCTCTGCGCCATTCACCTAAGTCCGCTCACCAAACCCCTGAACAAAGGAGCAGGTGTGGGTGCAAAACTACTGTACAGCAGTTGGTCTTTTAAGGGTTGTCACCTGCGTTTTCCTTTAGGTAACCCTTGTGGAGATATTTCAGCACAGATTACCAAGCAGCCACGTTTAAATATCCAATTCAGTTAAAGATAATCCAGAAATGTAAGTGATAAAAATGCTAGATGAATAATTAATAGGTGGTATAAACCCCAGGCAGTGTAAGAACCAAATTCAACTCTATTCCATTTTCAAGTTATTAAATCTCTACTCATTTGAAATGGCCTCTCATATTTTATTCATACCTTTAGTTGCAAATATATTTTCCACTGTATAGCAAGAGATGAGCTACTGCTGAAAAATAATTCTTTATTCACACCCGGACTCTAAACAATACAGCGCATCTGTGGGAGCAGTCAGAGCCTGCCCATCTGCTAGCCTATGGAAACGGACACGTGGAGGTCCATCTGGGAAGCATCTAAAACAATGCGACTCACTCTAATTATTCTCAAAGTTAACACGGGCACAGAGCAGGGAGAAACGGCTCACCATATTTTCATCCACTTTCTTCTTACTGTTAATCACTTTCTCCTCGGCCCCGATCAGTCCTCCTTCCTGCTCTCCCAGTGCAGATCCTGCATGGAGAGAGCACACCTGAGTTTCCTGGGATAGGCTGACCTCACGCCAACCTCAAAGCAGCAGCAAACTCCCTCCTGAGGGCCAGGGAGCCCTCACCAAATGCCCCCTCCCCTTTCTCGATATGCTACTTGTTCCCATTTGGGAGGATGCGCTGCGCTCCACAGGGGTGAGTGACGCAAGACCAATGGGTGTCATGGAGGAGGAGAGAGTGCTGTGCTCACTTTGCAAGCCTTCAGGAGAGAATACTTTTTGTACTATAAACAGAAGCTGGATCCAAAGGCATTCCAGCATCAAAAAACCCGTGACCCACCCTGTGATATCACCAAGCACCCACTACCCCTCAACTCACTCCTTTGACACTTCCTCTGAGTGGAAGAACTGTCACACCAGCAGCGAACCTGCATGCCTGCCTCAAGCACCATCTTTTACGCCACAGGCAATTCTTTCTGCCTGAAATACCCTCCCTGACCTTATATCCTTCCTATTTGTTCTTCAAGCTGCAGCTCTTTTTGGGAGACATTCCCAGGTTATAGTACTTAGAGTCACTGTTTTTAATTACTGATTTTCTTCTGTGTCTCTCACTAGGATGTTACCCTCCCGGGGCTTATCAGACCAGAATGAACAGGAAGGAAGCATTCCCTACATGGGGGGAACTCTAACACGGGGGTGGATGGTACCTTTCCATAAACAGGGCAAGAATGGCAACAGTCTCTTGTCAAGGTCAGACATTGCCTGGGCCGGCATCACCTGTGCGCGGCACTCCTGATGACAGCGCTCAAAGGTGCAGCACAAACCCAGGGAGAGGAAAAGTGAGGCGCAATCTTCTCTATTTTTAGCCCCAAAGCATGTGACTTCTAGCTCTCCTACTAGTGTCTCGTTAATAATATTATATACAGTGCTACCTAGACGCCTGTGATTTGAACCTTTTATAAATAGATCAACCTGGCGGATACTCGGCATTCTAAGGTGACCACCCGTAAGTAAGATGCCGACACGAGTATTTGCAAAGCGCTGCTGTCCCAGGCTGCCAGAGGCCCAGCCACAGCAAGGCTCTCCGGCTCACGGCCAGACTCCTTCTGGACCCAGAGCCGCTAGTAACCGCACTGCAGCTGCTGCACCCCCAGGCCAGCTAACACTTAACTCATTAGGATGCAGCCAGAAACGAGGCAGCCTTTTTTCCAGAGCTTTCATTTTAAAGAAGAGCTTCACAACCTGATTCTAGGGTGAGTTAAGCCAGGGCCGGTTTTTGTAGTCTCAAAATGCCAATGAAACAGCAACACTGCATTTCCGCTATTTGAGGAAGGGACTCTCTCGGCAGGATGCTCACGACCAAGCCGAATAAATTCTAACTCTGCACTCTTTCCATCTCTCTCTCTCCTCCACCTCAGAATTTCAAAGGTCATAGGGCAGGATCCTATTTCAAAAATAATGTGGCACTGAGCCAACGAATTTAAAGTCCTACTACCCGTGCTCAGACTCTCCTAACACTGTTTTTGGTGGTGCAACCCTCAATGCTTCTTTAACGCCGACCAAAAGCACTTTGGTTTTATAGAATGAATAAACAAGGGAATTTAACAGACCAAAAGTTAATGTTTAAACTATTCCAACGAATAACAGTTGAAGCATAAGGACAAGTTGAACTTTTAGAAAATTCAACTTCACCTAAACATATCCAAGATGTGCCGCCCAGAGGAACGTTCACACAGCGATGAAGAGGCATATCCAAGTAGAATAAAACAAAGCACGTGCACACGAGTGACTTGTGCAGGCAGCTCACAACCCTGTGTTCTGAGAAGCAGCATACACACCATTGCCAAACCCTCAGCCGGGCACGGCACGAGGCAGCCCGGTCAGTCCGAGAACGTGTGCCCTTGTTCACGATGACCCTGGAGGCTGGACTGGCCCCCGCTCCCCCGCCCCCGGAAATGCGGCAGCTATACCACGGTCTGTGAAACAGGAACACCACGGGCTCTGAAGACGGAGGAAGCTGAGTTCAGATTCTGGTTCCTCCACTTCCTAAGCTCATGACTGAACTTTGAGGCTGCTCCAACTGCCTTATCTAGCAAAGAGAGCTAATAACCCTACCTCCAGTGTGTTCAGTGGGTTAAACGAGATCAAGCGTGCAAGCCTTCAGCCTGTGCTCACACGCAGCTAACTTCATCTGAAAAGTGGAGACTCGTTACAGCAAGAGTTCACTTGTCTCAACCTGTTTCATCCATCAGCTTCTACTATGTTCTGAGGGACGCTACATCTCGGGGGACATGAGACAGCTGGAAACAGACACTCGGGCATGGACAAAAGGCAGAGGACAGCTAAGAAGAAAAGGAAAAGATGTATGTGGGAGCAGCAGAGAAAAAGAAGTAAAATAAAATGGCTCTCCACCCGACCATAAGCATGTTTTTATTTGTCCTAGGAATTTGCAACCAACCTGTTTAAGTTGGGTATACTTTTAAGGTCTCCCCAGCTTAAAAGGATTTATGAAGGCTCTACTTTGGTTACTCTGTATGCCTCTGTACTCTCTGGACATCCAGAAGGGCAGCTCAGGACGGCCACCGGGTAAGCAAACCCACGGACACCGGGTTCTGGGTGCCGGAAGTCAGGCTCCTCTGGTCCTCCCACAGCCATGTCTGAAGGCATGAGGCGGAAAGCATCAGGTGGTGGAATGGAACGGAGCGTGAAACTTCCGGGCAAGTGAAAGGAATGAAGGTCTTAGGGGGTACATCTTTGACAAAACCAACCTGTTTTCATTGGGTGATACACTTCCGGCTGAGTGTCTAGCAGAAAGGAAAGCAACAAAAACAAAACAGCACAAGAGGAGATTAAGAAAAAAAATCCCTTCTTTCAAAATTCCTACCTTTGACTTGACTTTCTCTATAACGTGAACAAAAGCGTACTCTTCCTTACAAACTGGGCCTGAGCTGCCCCACAAGCAAACGGCAGTAAGAGCTACAGCACATGACTGCAAGGAAGGGAGAGGAGGCAGGCGGTCTTGGGTCTTTTGGGGGAACTTCTGTGAGATTCCCAAATTATTTAGCTTAGCCCCAAGTTATTTTTCTTAGAAAACAACAAAAACACAAGTCAGCACTGGTTGTGGTTTTCTGAGAAGGAGACAAGGTCCCAGTTCACAAATGTCCAAGCGAGACGCGCCCCCATCCCAACAAGCTGAGGAAGTAGGGCCACCCTGCGGCCCCGTGGGTGGGGTCTGAAAGAGCAGGCTTAGGGAGTGCGCTGGCACCTCGTTATGTATCTGGCTCCTTCCTCGGATTCTCTTTTACTATCAGAGGGTCAACTATACTGAGTCGGTACCTCTGAGAGAGCTGGTTTGGAAGGAAGGCACTTGTGTTAGGGTCTGGAGGCCGAGCCGGACGCCCCCTTCCTCGGGCCTCCGTAGCAGCACCACCGGGATCTGCCTAGGACTCAGGACTGCATCAGCTCAGGCTCAAATCCTTACTCTCTACCTACAAGCTACGTGACCTGGGCAGACACTTAACCTCTTTAAACCTTGGATCCCCAAATGGGGAACACACCCAGTCCCCACCTCAGAGGGTTATTGTGAGGATAACAATATACACGAGAGCATCCACGCACAGTGCTTAGTCGAGGCTGGCGTATTCTACAGCAGTGGCCGCTACTTTTATCAACACCACCATCAGCCACAACAGCAGCCCGCAAATAAATAGAAACTGATTGCACACCCTGATCTCAGGGCCTGGGCTCGGCAGCTTGTCTATTTCTCGTGCAGACCCACAGCTTTTTTTAAAATTTATTTTTGGCTGCGTTGGGTCTTTGTTGCTGCGCGCGGGATTTCTCTAGTTGCAGCGAGCGGGGGCTACACTTCTTTGCGGTGCGCGGGCTTCTCATTGCAGTGGCTTCCCTTGTTGCAGAGCACGGGCTCTAGGTGCGCGGGCTTCAGTAGTTGCAGGGCATGGGCTCAGTACTTGTGGCTCGCGGGCTCTAGAGCGCAGGCTCAGTAGTTGTGGCGCACGGGCTTAGTTGCCCCGCGGCATGTGGGATCTTCCCGGACCAGGGCTCAAACCTGTGTCCCCTGCACTGGCAGGCAGATTCTTAACCACTGTGCCACCAGGGAAGTCCCCAGACCCACAGCTCTGAGAGATCCCTACAGACGTCGAGAACCGGCAGGGAATGGAAGAAAGCACGCCTGCGCAGGAGGAGGCAGAGGGACAGCTTCTCAGCCCGCCTTGCACTCGAGTGGGTCAGGTCACCTCTGCAGCCCCCCGTCACCTACCTCCCAAGACTGTTAGGGAAAGATAATGACAGCCTAGAACACGAAAGCGCTATTTAAGCTGCAAAGGGGCCTCCACGCGGAAGGCCTCACACCCTGCAGGCAGCTGATGGGACCAGGACAAACAGTGGGCTTGAGGCAAGCTGTCCATAAAATGGGAGAAACATCACAAACCTCCCGACGTTACTGAAGGCTCCCCACTCGGTGCCTGCACGCGGCAGGTGCTCGGTGAATCCCGGCCCCTCCCCTGCTCGACCTGCACCAGGAACACAGTCTCCCCAGCACGAGCCCGTCCCAGATCTGACTTCAATTTTCTAACTGCATTCTTCCCCGCCCCCTGGCCCCCGCTGCCAAGCTGGGCTGTTACCGCACACGCACCTTCGTTCTCAGGCAGGGACGGGAAGGGATGGAGGGGGTGGAACGGCAGGACCTCGTCGCTCTCCTCCGAGCTCACCCGCACGTCCACGGGGGTCTCTGAGATGGAGGCGGTGAACTGGTCCATGTCTGCTCGCTGTTCTTGAAGCAGCTCATCTGACAAAGACAGACACGCAGGAGCCAGCTTTTCAGAAGGATCTGGTTTCTAGGCACAGGATAGCCTGCATGGGGCTAATTCGTGTCATTAAGGGTGGGATGTGAGCTCTGCCTAAAGGGGCGTCTCACCAGCTCGCAACACAGGCCACGCATGACCCCCTCCTCTCTCCTGAGGGTGTGCTCCCTGACCCTGCTGACTGCAGAACCTCGGCGCTGGGAACCCCACGGCTGCATCCTGGGCCCCCCTCTCTCCTCGATCAACTCCCTCTGGGTAAGTGGTTTCCTCCTACGGCACAGTTTTAAATACCATCCACGGATCGTGACTCCCAAACCTGTATCTTGCACCTGCATCCCCGACCTCTGGCTCATCCACCTGGTAGCCTACTGCACACCTCTACTTAATGTCTGAGGGCAATTTCTATTTTAACAGGTAAAGAGAATGCACCACCTGAGCAAAATGTAGCCTCACCACCCACTCAGCTGCTCACAGGGAAAAAGCGCAGAGCCAATGCTTTTCTTTCTCTCAACCCCCTGCCCTGTCCAGCCCATCAGCGCATCCTGTTCACCCTTCCTCTGAAACATATCCTCAGGACCACTCATATCTCCATCTCCTCCATTCCCATCTCTGTGCACTCAGCCATCCCCTCTCTCCTGGATTTTTACAATTGCTTCCTGGGTGGTTTCCAATTTTCATCAACTCTCAACATAGCAGTCTAGTAATTGTTTTTTAAAGTTCACATTTTTAAAAAACATATTCCAGATCTAGTCACCTGCTGGTTTAAAACCCTCGAAGGGCTTTCAATTATCCTAGAATAAAATCCAAACTCCTTGATTTTGCTAAAATCTCTCTATTCAAACGTCAGGCTCTGCAGTGGTCGCTTCCTGTGCTCAGTGTTTCCCCGCCCCCCCCGGGGTTGCTGTGTGGAGGGTGCCTCCTTATCATTCGGATCTCAGGTTTCCCCCAAGGGAGCCTGACCACCAGGCACCCTCCCCGTCCCACCCCAGTTTCACCTCTGGCACAGCACCCATCCCCACGGACACTCGTTTTCCTGACCGTTCCCTCCTCCTAAAATGTGGGCTCCAGGAGGTCTGTCTACTGGTGCACATTTTACTCTGTGCCACACAGTAGACACAACGAACGTTTGTTGGATAAATGAAGAAGAGAAAGACCAGAAGGGGGAGAAGAAGTGAGAACGTGAATAAGTAGATGCCTTAAAATACGCCAGCAGTTAAGGGGCAAAGGGTAACGGGAGACTCGCTCAGTGCCTTGCAAATTCACACCCTAGATTTTTCTTCCGGTAACAGAGTGAAGGTCAATGAAACTCAAGGCTCTGTGGCTCCCAGCCAGGGCTTGACCCTGCCACGTGAGCCCCAGACTTCTGAGCCCGTGGCACGCTAATGCCCAGCTTTGTGGCCTCGCTTGTCCTGTTTCTCTCATCTGGCACTGCCATCACTCCTGAGCACAAGCCCCGCCTGACCTTGATGCAAACAGTCAGCACCCACCAATTTCCTCTTGGATTTCTTGGGCCACGTAAGGTACTTTGTAGAGCAGAGAAAGGCTCTGGTTCCTTCTTTCTTCGATCACGTGGAGATGTGTCATCACCTGCAAGCACAGGATGGGGGGAGAGGCCTTGTCACCAGAACAGCCGGGCCAGCCTGACACCCACACGCTTCTGCAAAGACCTATGTTCTCTACAGAGTCCAGCAAAGCAGCTGGTCAGGGGGGCAGTATGAATCCTCCCCGTGTTTACTGGCCACCGTAGTGCAAGAATGCGTGTATCACCTCTCGGTGATCTAAGGATTTATCCAGAGAGTGCTCCAAGTTAAGGGAAAATTTTTAAAAATTCCCTTGGCCAAGTATTGATTTGGTTTGCACAGGAGGCACTTGCTAACTGTACTATAAAAAAAGAACCCGAATTTGTACAATGCCAGACACTCAGTAAGGGCCTTCTGAGTGAAAGAGGAAATGAGTTGGTCAATTTTTACCACTGGTCAGACAAGAAGAGGTAACAAGGGAATGAAATCACTGGTTAAAAAGTAGATTTGAGGGATGAGACCATTCATGGATTTTGCTTCGTGAAGCAGTTGCCTGAAATGATTATCACAGTGAGCATCAGAACTAGTTTATTCCTACTTAACTAAATTAGCTATTCCTTCAAAACTGCACACTGGGGCTTCCCTGGTGGTGCAGTGGTTGAGAGTCCGCCTGCCGATGCAGCGGACGCGGGTTCGTGCCCCGGTGCGGGAGGATGTCACATGCCACGGCGCGGCTGGGCCTGTGAGCCGTGGCCGCTGAGCCTCCGTGTCCGGGGCCTGTGCTCTGCAACGGGAGAGGCCACAGCAGGGAGAGGCCCGCGTACCGCAAAAAACACACAAAAAAACAAAAAAACTGCACATTGAAGTATAAATAAACCTGATTTTTATGGGGTGATAAGGAAGGCATATCTACCATCTGTCTTACATAGCTCACTGCCTTTTCTGAATGCAGAAGTTCCAAGGTTGTTCATCCAAAAAAAAAAAAAGAAAAAAAGTCATTAAAGTGGTCACTGAATTTAATTAAAAAAATTTTTTTTTGTCACTGAATTTGAGAGGTTTTCAGGGTGGAAATGGAAGGAGATTTGGACTACATCCACCCCAATGACACTGTGAAGCACGTGGCTGTACATCACACAAGCTCCTCAGGAAGGCTAATCCCACTGGGCTACACCTGCAGCCACCGAGCTCTTCCTAAAGAGGGCGCTCTGAGCCAATGGATTAATTATGTGGGCTTGAAGCCATTAACATGAAGGGTCAAAATGAAAAAAAGTTAAATGGAAAGATGCTTTTATTGTAGATTGATGTCTCTCTGACCTATAAAAGCAAAGATGAAAGCAATTTAATTTTATACTTGCCGTTCTTTCAATCAAGTAAATTGATGGGAAAGCACCAGAGTGAGTGCTTTGGAGAAAAAATGCAAGTAGAAACGGAAGGGTGAGCTCCCCAGTCTCAGCAGTGGTGACACTGCCATATGTTAGAGGAATTAAGGAGCCTGGCAGAGGACGGTTCCTACGCCCACGAGGACAAGACCACAGGGTGGGATGCTGGGCGCCAGGGTCTTTGGAGGGCCGCCTGGAGCTGCAGTGTGGGGCGGGAGGCAGCAGCACATCACTCACACCTCAAATCGAGTGCACACGTTCTAAGAGGCTCAACATATTTGGGGTTTTCAAGAGTTTACATAACAGGACAGGGAACAGGCCAAAGGCTAGTGTAATCCAGCGGCCGAGCTGCCCCAGAATTAAGGGCTCCGAGCAGACAGTAAACATCACACAGTAAAGATGCTCCGCCTCCCAGGGCACTCAGGTGGTACCCTGATCCTGGCTCACAGGTTAATTGAACACACTGATCAAGGTCTCACCTTTCCTTCTATTCTCACCATACAAGACAGGCTGTTTTTCTATAAAGTACTACATAATAGTCTAGATTTTCTACAAAAAAAAAAAAAAAATGAAAAAAGACTACATTTTTAAATTTTAACTTTATTAATTTTTTTTTTGGCCATGCCATGCGGCCTGTGGGATCTCAGTTCCTCGACCGGGATTGAACCTGTGCCTCCTGCACTGGAAGCGTGGAGTCTTAATCACTGGACCTCCAGGGAAGACCTACGTTTAAAAAAAAAAAAAAAATCGGGTAGACCTGAAAAATTCTAACCCCTGTCAGGATGTAAGCTTTTCCTACCTGAGCTTCCCGGAAGCTACCCGAGGTCTGCTGGCCTTTCCTCCTTCTCTTCTACTCCATCCAGCTTCAAACAGAGCCTTAGCTCCAGGCCCCCAGCAGAGGCCCCGGGGGTCCCCAGACCCATGCCCTTCCCACTCTTTAGGACACTGAGTTCTTTCATTCCCTGAACACCCAGCTGCTAATGTGGGCTCCGTATGTTTAAGGACAATTCTTCTCCATCTTCACAGTTAACATAATTAATTTCACACAACTGTGAGCTGCTCAAGGGCACACAGGATTCAACTATGTGTGGTGAGATGCTGGAGCAGAACTGGGCAGCAGATGGGGCCGTAGGGGAGCCCCCCAGGGCTTCTGGGAAGTTCCCCTACAATCACACCACAGGAGCAACAGGAGGCAGGAGGGGACAGGTTCCCAGCCTGTGCACGCTGCGTCCCCACAAAGCAGCACAGGGCTGGGTTTAAAATACAGGAGGAAATAGAGTAAGATCAGTTATGGCATCACAAGGCCCTCTAGGAAAACTAACAGGCAGACTGTTTTAAAGGAAGCTAGCGGTCTTGGAGGCAAGTTCATTTCTATGAATACAAGACAGTAAAACTCAAGTTAATACATGGTCAAAACAAAAATTAGAAATGTAGGTCCAGAAACAAACCTCTATAGATGACTACAAAGACCAGTAGGACGCAGCAGGGGACAAAACCCAGGGATGTAAAGTGTCTAAACGCAAAAACTATACTGTACAAAAGAGACCAATTTTTAAGATGTGCTTGCCTAGAAAGAGATTTCAAATATTAATTCTGGTGGGACCCTCAGCTAGAAATAAACTGATATAAAAATGATCTCTTCAATATAATCATGCATTCCTAAACCTTCAAGAACAGTTTAAGTAGGGCATACTTAATATGAAAAAGTATGGAAAAGATATTTTTTAAATAGTACCTTTGCAAAAACCAACTCTTGTACCTACTGTCTTTGGAAATCCAAAATCATTTCCTGAGGACTAAAAACAATAAGCACGACCATCCGTGCTGCCCGACCACCGGTCAGAGCGGTCTCTCCTCTGTCTGGTGTACCTGGGACTTCATCTGGGCCGCCTTTTCGGGGTCAACAGCCAGCACGTGCTGGTAATGACGGATGGTGTGGAGGCGATCTTTGTTCTCAGCCCGGACGTAGCGTCGCAAGGCTTGGAGAATGCGATGGGGCTACAAGAGAGAACAGTGGTTTTCACGTCCAGAGACTAGGGAACTGAAAACAGGCAGGAAAATGAAGCTTTAAAAACTCACTAAGAAAGTCAGCCTCAGTGAGGCCCAGGAATGAAAGCTGTACCTTTAAGAGCTTTAAGTTACCAAGTAACAAGAAGCTACCCTTCTAAGTAGCAAAAGCTAAGTTCCACAGTTATAGTGGCTCCTCAACAGACAGTATTTTCCAAAATTGCTAGCCCACCGTCTTCCTCCAATCTGTCTGTCCCCTTTCCTGAGCTCGGCGCCTGCCACCATAATTACAAGCACAGGGTGACCTGTGTCACCCAGAAGACTTTACTTGCTTAAGGAGGCTACAAATACCCTCCTTTTCGATCCTCTCCATCCCCCAGAGCAAGGCAAGTTAGAGCTAAGGGATAAAGTTTGACACCACCGGCAGATAAGAGCTGCGATATAAATTAACTTATCATCTTATTTAGAATAGAACTGGTTCAAAAGCCTTTGTCCATGGAAGATGTGTTTTTATTCTTTGAAAGTAAGGCTACTATAAAAATGCAATAACTGGGGAACTACCAACCAACACCCTGAGGTTCTGCTTTTCCAGCGGAAGCCGTGTCCACACCACAGGCGGCCCACGGGCCCTCAAGCGCGATGTGAGCTCACACCGGTTCTACACACGCTACTTCAGCGATTCTCACCCGCGGAGGGTCGGACTGCAGAGCCGCCAGGTAGTTCTCCAGCGCCACCCGGCGGCGGTCGTTGAGCATGGCCTCCACCCGTGCCAGGTGCGTCTCCACCAGCTGCTGCTTCTCGCTGGCCGCTTCCTTCTCCAGGGCCTTCACCATGGCTTGGAAGTGCTAAACCATAAAGCAGGAACCACATCGAGTCAACGCACCTGCGGGCATCTACACTCACGGTGTCAGACCCCACTCTGTGCCTCTCCGCGCCCAGCGCCCCAGCACAGAGTCGTGTGGAGCGGGGTGAGGTCGTAGAACACCTCCTCTGACTTCCGTCTGGACACTTACAGGTGACCCTTGAACATCGCAGGGGATAAGGGCACCGATCCTCCCCGTGGTCCAAGATCCCAGTGTAACTTACAGTCGGGCCTCTGTACATGCGGTTCCGCATCCACGGATTCAGCCAACCGCCCATGTGCGGTGCTGTGGCCTTTACCGTTGAAAACAATCTGCGTGTAGGGGGACCCACGCAATTCAAGCCCCTGTGGTTCAAGGGCCGACTGTACTTCCCCATCTAAAGACAGCATGTATGTCTGGGCATGGGACGGGCTCCTCAGCACCTCCCTAACTGAAATCCCTAGCATGCAAGCCCAGGCCTGGCCTCTCCGTGTGCACCGCGAGGAAAGGAAGGCTGTCCTTCCCACACTGCAGCAAGGCACCCCCAGACCACAGTCCTGTCCTGTGGCAGGTGAGGCCGAGCCATTCACACCAAGTCCTGAAGGGCGAGCTCCCTGCGGGGTGCCTGGCCAGGTCTGCAGGCACGTTGAAGGCTGCCGAGCTAAAGCTCCCTGCATGGGGTGCACTGGCTGTGTGGAAATTAACATTCGCAGATTTTCTAGGTTACTGATAAAAAAGCAAAGGTGAGCCGATAAAATATCAACATCATGAGAAGAGAGGTTTCAGCTAAACATAAGCTGACGTAAGATGTAACTAGTTTTAGGAATCCCAAAGCAGTCCTGTAAATTCCTGTCAACAACCTCCTCTAGGCAAAGGGAGGCAGCTGCTCTGAGTCTGATTACATTCTTAAATCCAAAGTTAAGATAAACAGAGAGATTTATTTTCTGCCTTTTGACTTTTCAATAAGTCTGCAAAAAAAAACAACAAAAAACAAAACAGCATTTGGTACTGCAGTACTGCCAGAAAACAAGGCACAGCCTACGAAGGAAGATGCCCGAGGACTTTTGCCGGGAAAGCAGAGTAAACACAGCCGAGCTAAGGTCACTTCCAGGCATAAGTGAGGTGTGCTCTGCTCCGAGCTTCGGTTTCCCTCCACCGTAGGTGAGCAATTCTAGAGAACGCCAGTTGGTAGGTGAAAAACAAAGCCGGCCAGTGAAAATTTCCTCGTAACATAAGCGCTCAACCAAAAGGGGGTGTCAAACTCTAACTTGTGGGGACTCTGGCTCCGACCATACTCCAAAGGGTCAGCCTGGGAGCCCCTCTCTGGAGGACACGTCTCACCTGAATGAGAGTCTGCCTCTCTGCTTTGGGGAGGTTCTTGGCTTGAAGTTCAGCCTCTTCCCATTCCTTCTTCACCTGGAACAAAGGTCAAAGCCACTATAACCAGAATAATCTCTGAAACAATTCCCCCATTTTCTAAAAATACTGCCAAGCCCTGAATGTAATGTGGAAAAGTGCACAAGGAAATCACATCCCACAAACTCATGAGCTCAGGGTTTGTCCCAGAACTGCCTCAGAAGATGCAGGGCGTCAGCTCTCGTACCGACTTCTCAGAACTGATGTGGTTAAAACAGAGTAACAAGCATTTCCCAGCATACAAGCCCACCACAGGGGATGTGTGGGATTTCAGGTGGTACCCAGACCTAGCAAAAAATTCCCTTTTCAATTTTTTTTTTCAACCTTTCCAAGTAAGTCTAGGAGAAAATTGCACTCTGGTGCTCTGTTGCTCTGGCACTTATAACTCCGTGAAGGAAAAGAAGCATCCCTGAAACTATGCAGGCCACAGTATCTAGCTGGAATGTTTTAACACTGTTTGCTTTGATCCAATATCTTTTTCTAGTTACCTTGTTCTAATGGTAAATGATACTAGCTTTCTACTTACAGTATTGATATAAAGTTTCCTTCTTCAAAATAAAAAAATTTAAAAAGCTAGTTCATGGCAAAGAAAAAGCAGAACATAATGTTTACAGGAAGCGCTCCTCGGCAGAGTCTGGAACAGAGAAGCACTCAGAGGATAATTCCATTATCATGGACAGAGGGAGGGGACTAGCTCCGCCCCAAAGGCAGGCCGGCCTACACTCTCACACCTCACCTGTCCTAACTCGGTTATTAGCACAACAACCTGGGGAGGTGGCGTCCCTCTGCTTCAGCCACGAACCCCAAGTCAGCTGATGCCTGACAGCACGAAGATAAGGGAGCCCGAGGTTTACCCTGTCCATCCGGTTTCGGTGCCGGATTTCCAGCTGCTCCTTGGCCTTCTGGAAGCGCGCGTGCTCGTTGTCATCTGCTGAGGTCTCGAAATACACGTCGACATCATTGGTCGGCAGTGGAGTTGGGGGAACTGAAACAAAGGGACCAGAGGGTTCTCTCCAGGGGCCAGCCCCACGCTGAAGTCGCACGATGCTCAGGGAGCAAAGCCTGGCTGGGCCTGCAGACGGGACCGGCGTGTCCAGCCAGCACCGTGCTCAACGGCAGGGTGCGCCCATCTGCTGGGACCCCACTCCATCTTCCTTACCCAGTATCCAGCCACCAGGCCTGTCCGCACTCCCCCCGTCCTGTAGGACCAGTGAGGCATCTATTGAGGACTTCAGGGGCAGAAAAGGAAACCACTTCTATACCTTCCCGCAGCTCTTGAAACCTTAAAACCTAAACAAGAACTACCCTATTGAGAGCATCTGACCAGAGACAGGGCTGAAGTCAGACGTGCAAAGGCACTGCAGGGCTCAGGTCTCCTCTTTTTCTCTGGCTATTTTTAGGTCACAACTCACTTTGGGCAACTGATTCAACTGAATGTTCTTTGCACACAGACTGGGCAGAGAAAGTCCAAATGCTTCAGCTCCAGCTGCTTAGTTTTCAGTTCCACTGGAGGTCTTTCAGCCCCAGCCCCACAGCAGGGGCAATGTACTGGACAAGGGCTTACCACGAGTGTGAAGATGCTTTGGGCTTTTCTATCCATGGCACTCACTGGCCCCACCAGGCCACCACCCAGGAACAAACCCGTTAGAACAAACACTCCACACTAGTCTAAGTTCCTGAGTTCCTACCAGCCCCAGGCAGACGTGCATCTGCACAAAGGAGCTTATCCTAACCCAGGAAGGGTTGAGGTGACAGGTCTACCTCTTAAGAAATACCTGCGGAAATTCTCATTACCCCAACTCACTGGGGATTTCCCAGGCCAAGGAGGAATGTCAGGCAACCTGCTTACACAACTTGCTCCATCAGGACACACTTGAGAGCCACTGGGAGAGCAAAGGCCAAGTTCAACGAATTTTAATTCAAAAACAAATTCTCCCAGTTTCCAGAACTGCGTGATTCTAACACGAGACCAGCTGTGTAAACGATGAGTGTGACCACAAGTAAGTCAGCCACTCCGCAGTCCTTAAATCGGGGTGTCTTCATTCACCCTCTTTTACTGAGTTTCAACCCTAGAAGCTATGGCTTAAGTCTTGTCAAGAACATCTGCCTCCTACATTAATTTAAATAGGATCTCAACAGCCAATTTCCAGACTATAACTAAATCAGAATATATACAGCTAGCTTCAGAAACCACATTCCCCATGATACTCAAAAGCTCAGCCAGGAGAATTTCGAAGCACTGAATTCCACTGGTGCCAACAAACACGTCGCCATTGGCGGCGCATGTCCGCAGCTTAAAGGCTTATGTGTTGGAGACAGAGCCTTTGGTTCATATCCCCAGGCCGGGCCGGATGAAGGTAATACAAGCAAGCGCAAGCTGCCTCCGCCCCACCCCACCCCCGCCCCACGCCGGAAAGAGAGGGCAAAGGGGCAGCAGGTCTGGAGGTTTGGTTCTGAAGACACGATGGGATGGGCTCAAACCTAGAACCACATCCCTCTGTCTGTGTGCAAGCGACCAGCTCAGGAAGCCGGAAATGTGCAGGCCTCAGTCCCCTTCAAGGAGGGAAGCAAACTTGCCCACAGGAGCAGTGATGCTTCTAGGCTCCAAAGCCCTCCAGCCGGGCCCCAAGCACATGGCCTGTCGGGAAGCACGACCTTGCAGGCTTTGCAACTGTTCACGCTCCAGCAATCTGCCAGTCCCCAGTGTCTTACGACACCGTCCACCTGATCCTCTGGGTAAAGACTGCACCTCCACATTCAGCGAGACCTTAAACGACCCAGATTCCTCAGGCTTTGACCCCAAACAGCGTTTTGTTGCCCCTTAGTTTAAGAAGTTTTACAAAGCAGGAAGTATCACAATAATTTCTGTCTCCATCTTTCCTAAATAAAAAAGTTTCTGCCACCAACGTTCCCTAAGGGCTCATTTGTTTTCTCATCTTTTCAATCATTTCAAATAAAAAGTTCACCAAGCAGCAGCTGGAGTGGAAGCACTAAAAGTAAACCATATCATATTAAGATTTAAATAATCTTTTGGTTGGGGAAGGAAAGAGGGAACAAGGTGGCATATGAACGAAAAACCGTCAGAAGCTATAGCCACAAATCTTTAGGGCAAATACCAGGAATGGCAGCACAGCTCATTATTCTAGAATCAGAATGAGGAAGGGTCTGCCTAGCCAGAGGGTTTTCCTACACACGGGTCAGAAGTGCTCCAGACGAGAAAGAGGGTCTTAAACAGGAAAAGGGGGAACTATGAAGAAAGGCAACCTGCCGACAGCGAAGTAAACCTGACTCAACTGAACGCTGAATTTCTTTGTGACCAAAGAACGCATAAACTAAAACTCCTAAAGCTAGGCCTGATCCAGCGCTGCCAGAATACTGGGGAAACGGAGTCACCACCACTTGGCTGCAGAGCACGCTCCCTGGAGTGCGTATAGCAAGATGTTCCAATGTTCTCGGCTCCCTGAAGTGTCCTTATTGTCACTTTTTTGGAGAGCGGGTGACCCCCTTAGCTAGTGTGCATCATGGGGGGTCGGCACAGGGCCGCTCAACACAAGAGTGAGAGAGAAAAGCCTGGACACAAGATGTGCAGAACTCACGACCTGTCCGCTTGTCCTTCGTGCATTTCAGCCTCAGACAGAGGAGGGCAGGGCCGCCTTCCCAACCCAACCAACACGGAGGCTCCGGATGAGAAAGGGCAGGCCCCTGGCTCCCCGCTGTGGCAGGGAGGGAGCGTCATCTCCTCCGCCATTACTGCTCCCATTATCACCGCTGTCACCACCTCCATCACCACCATCACCTCCACCATCACCATCATCACCTCCACTACCATCACCTCCTCCACCATCACCTCCTCCACCACCATCACCTCCACCTCCACCTCCACCATCACCATCACCTCCTCCACCACCTCCACCATCACCATCACCTCCACCACCTCCACCATCACCATCACCTCCTCCACCACCATCACCTCCACCACCACCATCACCATCACCTCCACCACCTCCACCATCACCTCCTCCACCACCACCACCTCCACCTCCACGGGCCCACGGCGAGCACAGGACACGGAAAACTGAGCTGACAACTGCCGACAGGAAAGCAAAGCTAGATCTAGAAAGCACAGAGAGAAGAGCAGACGACCAACAGCGAACACCGAGTGGGCAGGGAGCACCACACAGACGCGGTCACGAGGACACCGGGGGACAGAACGCTGGACGGGATGGAGCTGCACAGCCAGGGCGGCGGGACTTACTCATCACTTTACACACAGCCATACAAAACTCCTCAGACTCAAAATTGTTCCTGTTGCCGCCGCAGCCGCCATATATAAAGCGCACGCACTTCCCCTTGGAGAGGTCGAAGTACCACCGGGGCATCACGGCCCGGCAGGGCCCCGTCAGCGCCTCCTGGGAGCAGACAGCTGTGTGGAAATGGTCAGAATGTCAGCAGGGGCCGGGCAGCAGCTCCAGGGGTTCACAGAGCTACAGACCAGCAAGGGGAGAAGGACCAGGCGACGCTTAACATCAGCGAAGGCCAAGATGGGGCAGCACCGGGCGCCCAGGCCAACGAAGTTGCCAACTCCTGCCAGCCAACACTGAGGATGTGGTCGTTTTCCTTCCTGATGCAAGAGAGACCCTTAGGTCCTGAGAATATGGACTGGTGCTTTCTGCACTGTCTAGAGTCTAGAGCGGGGCAGGGCTGACATGGAGGAGCCTCACGTTTCTGATCTGTGAAGTGGGGACAACTGCCTGGTTTGGCCGTCTCGGGGGTGTCAAGGGCAGAAGGAGACAGTGCAGGTGCAGAGACTGTTTCACTGGCGGTAACCATCGTAAACGCTACTTAGGCCCCTGGAAAGGACGAGTGTACGTTTTATGTTCTCCAGGGTGAATCACAAACTTCTGGACTCATTAAGTCATCTGCTCCTGGTTGAATCCTGAATAATTCTTCAGATCTTAATTGGTTTCGAATATACTATCAGCAAGAGGCTGCACATAAAATGGTCTAGAACTGTCACAACTTTTTTTTTTTTTTTTTTTTAATGGTGAAATGAAAACACTGCTGGCCCTGATCCCTTACCCGGTAGGTCATCAAATTCCACCCTCCCAGCTGCAAACCTCTTTCTGATGGACAAACAGGGCAGCCTACAGATGGGAACACACTCAGGAAAGGAACCAAGGAAGTGACTTCCACTCCAACAGGTTGGGGCTTCAGCAGTTACTGAGGAAGGGGAACCCCCTCAGGAGAGAACATTTCCGGCTGGATGTGGAAGAATCCTGCCCGACGGCAGACCACGTGGTCTCTCTGACTCTCTAGTTAAGTCCTTACAATGCGAAGCTTAGTTTCCTGATTAAAATCTGTCAACCGCCAGACCCTGCAGTGTCCAGAGCTGACCTCACCTTCGGGGCATGAAGCCACCCTCCTGACTTACCTGTGAGGAAAGCAGTCTCTAGGCAAATTAGAGAATATTAACAAATTCTAAGTAAATGACCGCCAGGTGGATTTTACAGCCGCGGCGGCTCTCCGTGGGGTTACCTCTGACGCCGTGAGAGATCTCCTTCTCTGCAGCGGTCCCATGGCGGCTGGGCTGGGTCGGGCTCTCCTTGTGGCGGCCGTCTCCCTTGAAGGCATCGTAGTAGTAATCGCGATCTTCCACCACTTCCTGCTCACCCTCATCCACAGCTGCTTCTGTGAAGTCTTCCAAATCTGCTTCGGTAGGAAATTCACTAAAGGTCACAATAAAAAAGGAAGGTTAATACCAGTTGCTATGCACAGAGCGCAACAATGAGTCCCTTCCCTGTTCTGAAACACAAAGACAGAGGCAGGAAATAAGCTCAGCCCATGGTGAGCCGTGCCGCTAAAGCCCTCAGCCCGGCCGCCTCAGCGGAAGGGGACCACCAGGCAGCAGGGGCTGGGCTAACCTGCAGAAAGGCACGTGGCCGGGGTGACACGCAGCTGAAGGCCACTGGCGTGCCTGGGCTCAGCCACGGCCCAAGTGAGATGTGCCAGCCCAGCTCTGGCAGGAACGGGCAATGCCCGCTTCGCCCGGAAGCCAGGGACCAGCAGCCACGGCCACATCCGCAGGCTCCGGGCAGGAGGTTACCTTTTATAAATATCGTAGTCTTCCTCTTCATCGTCCTCTTCATCGTCCTCCTCATCGTCCTCTTCATCGTCCTCCTCCTCTTCTTTTGACACAGCAGATTCAACAACCTTTGTCTGAGGGCAGCACACGTACTCGGTGCCGTGGAACTGGTCCACCCCACAGGGGAGCAGCATGCCATAGCTGTACAAGGTCATTCCCTGAGTCAGGCAGGCCTGAGGGAAACCCACACACCAACATCAGAGCACAGCAAGTGTGGCCAAAGACCCCCGATCCCCAGCTTTACCCAAAAGAAACCCTTACGAAATCACAACGTGAGCCTTTCTCATGGACACATACATTTTTGGCCAAAAAGTTGCGACCCTACTATTTTAAGACTTACAAATCTTGCTTAATTTGCAAGGGGGAAACATCATCTGGGCTAAAACCAATGAAAGCCCAAAGTTGGAATAAAATTAAGGAAAGGAGGTTTCTTTTAGTAATTATCGACGCGGGTGAATGGTGGTCAATGGTAACATACACTCCTAATTGGTGAGGAATTCAGAATTACTTCAGAACTAGACAAAAGAAAGGCAACTGGCTGGAAAACCAACTTAACTCAGAGGACAAGCTAAGAAAGGGTCATTCTCCCCACGGGAAGAATGAAATGATATCTAAACCTGACAGCATGCATGTCCAGACACAGATGTCCTATAATTGGCTATTTCCACACACGCCTTAGGGTTTGGGTGGCCTTGCTGGGGGCCCTGCCGACAGAATCCTTAACGATCTTTTTCATGTCCCTGACTTCAGGGGCTGAACTGTTAATACTGTACTTCCTTACAAAAATATCTTGTTCTTCTCCCAAATAGTTTTAATTTAAAAGATACAAGTAACTGTAAACTTTGATGAGACAAAGGGAAAGAAAATTAATTTAAAATTATGGTAAGGGGCTTCCCTGGTGGCGCAGTGATTGGGAGTCCGCCTGCCGATGCAGGGGACACGGGTTCGTGCCCCGGTCCAGGAAGATCCCACATGCCACGGAGCGGCTGGGCCCGTGAGCCATGGCTGCCGAGCCTGCGCGTCCGGAGCCTGTGCTCCGCAGCGGGAGAGGCCACAACAGTGAGAGGCCCGCGTACCGCAAAAAAAATAATAAATAAATAAAATAAAATAATAAAATAAAATTATGGTAAGGTGTCGAGAAAAAATACTACTTTCCTAAAAAACAATGCTCGACTTTTCCCACCCACCCCTTTACCTCTTTGACCACAGTGTGCCAGTGCTGATGATTCTCACACACTTCCATCCGCTCCTTGTGGAAAAACTGGCACTTTTCTGGAACTAGCAGAACGTCACTTACAAACTCGCCCACTGGAAAAGAGAAGCTTTGTCAGAAGCAAATCTGATCATGATTCAAGGTGAAAACAACCCTGACTGCAGGTTACCGTGACGGTCACACAGTCACGGGCAGACAGGAGCAGTCTCTAATGCATATAAGCTGATGTGCACCTCATCTTCCAAAGCCAACTGGACGTTTTAGCTCCAGGCCAGCAGCCACAAGAGCTCAACACTCTGTTACAACCGCAAAGCCCAGGACTTCCTCACTCCTTCCTGACCTCAATCCCTTAACTTCTGGAGCAGGGCTATGGCACCCTACGGGGGAAACGGGAAGAGAACTCCCGTGCATGACCTCAAACACACACAGCTACTCCCCACCACCTCTGGCTTCACATGGACAACATGCCTAGCCTCTTACTTCTATTTCTGCCCATATCAGTTCTAATAACAAAACGCCCAGGAAACTAAGACTGGGTGTTCTCCTAAAGAACAGGTGAATCTTACTTTAGCCCTTTGTGGACCTACAGACACCTAGCTCTAAGACAAACCACCACTGCGATAACTGATGCAGGTACAAATCACCAGTGGAGTGTTAATTAGGAAGGGGAACGCATGTCTTTGCAGTGGGAAGGGCTGGCAGACACTACTTTAACTGGACAAGCTGACTTAAGTGATGTTCTAAGAACAGATCACCTACACAGTCTTTCTGCCAAAATATGTCATTTGACTCTAATCATACAAAACAATATGACAAATTCAAATTCAGAGATAGTGCTAAACAAGTGACCTAGACTCTTAAAAGATATTATTGTCATAAAATATTCAGGGACCTCCCTGTGGTCCAGTGGTTAAGACTGCACTTCCAGTGCAGGGGGCACGGGTTCAATCCCTAGTCAGGGACCTAAGATCCCGCATGCCGCCAAAAAAATAAAGTAATATAAAATAAATAAAAGATTCAAAAGAAGAAGCTGAGGAAATGCCTAGATTAAATATAATGTATGATCCTTTTTAAAAGGAAGCTGTAAAGGACATTATTTGAACATTTAGGACAATTGTCCCATGTGTGATCGCTGTATCACAGTCATACAGGAGAATGCCCTCGCTTTTAAGAAAAGCAAGCCGAAAACTACTTGGAGGTGAACTATCTTAGCGTCCCAACTCACTTTCAGATGGCCTAACAATGAAAAGTAAGTAAGACACACACAATGCACACAGTGAGATGGATAAGGCAAAACTGGGAAACACAGGTAACAGGTATAGAGTACTGTATAGTACTACTGCATTTTTTATAGGTCTGAAACCTTTCAAAAATAAAAAGCTGGGGGAAAAATACACATAGCTGCTTAGAAAATAGAGTCCTTATCTCTTAGAAATACATGCTGAAGTATTTACAGGAAAATAAAAACGGTATCTGTGACTTATTTCCGAATAACGAGGGGTAGGTCGGATTGGCTACAGACAGGGTGAGTGGTTCATGAACCGTTACACAGCACATGAGGGTTAATGCGATAATCTTCTCTGTGTTTGGATATGTTTGTAACTTCCATAATAAAAAGCTAAAAACGTAATCACTGGCTCATCACCCAGAGAACCTGGTTCAATAGGTCTAATTTGGGACTCAGTGATCTGCACTGAACAAGCATCCCAGGCGCTTCTGATGCATCACCAACATGCTCTACTGAGGGTCCGAGTGCAAGAAAACCAAGGTGGTACTTAGCTCAGGAGAGACGCAATAGGTAGGGGAGGGAAAAGGAAACAGGCAGGCTAACCTCTGAGGTTTAAAAAAAAGGAAAAGGAAAGTCTAATAAGAAAGTAATCTGGCCTAAGAAAGGTCTTAGGGGGAGTTCCCTGGCAGTCCAGTGGTTAGGACTCGGCGCTGTCACTGCTGGGGCCTGGGTTCAATCCCTGGTCAGGGAACTAAGATCCCCCAAGCCAAGCGGGTAAAAAAAAAAAAAAAAAAAAAAAAGGTCTTAAGACTTGAACTAGCAGGAAGTCTATATGCAGACCCGCTCCCCACCCTCATTGCAGCTCAGGCCTCGGTCTCTGGGCCTGAGAAGTCTGTCCTTCCACTGCCCATGCGGAGGCAAAGGGCAGCCCCTGATCTGCTGTGAGGGGGAGATGTGCTCCCGCCATCACAGGCAGCCACCGCACATCAAAACAGCTTCCGCGGGGCAGTGAGGTTTCACTCTGCCATTAGCACAGGGACTTCGGGGACCAGATAGCTCAATTTGACACTAATGCAGGAGCACAATGGTTAGTCAGACACGGTGCTGCCCTCGAGGGCCCCAAAGGGAGATAGAAACAAGCTTTACCCATCAACCAGGCTTAAAATCGAAGCTTAAAAAGCAAAGCCCAGGGGTAAACTAGGATTCGCCTCCATCAGGAGAAGCACCCCGATACTCAGTCTAAGTACAAATCACCGAAATTCTGGCATCCAACCACCAGCTCACACTGTGGATGGTGACTGTATGGACTAAGCAATCTTTACATATATATATATTTTTTCTTTTTGTTTTGTCCGCACCTCCTGGCTTAAGGGATCTCAGTTCCCCAACCAGGGATTGAACCCGGGCCTCAGCAGTGAAAGCCCATAATCCTAACCACTAGGCCACCAGGGAACTCCCTATGTTTGTTAATTTATGACAAAAAAGCAACAAAAAGTACACTTAAGAGGCAGTGTGTACAGGGCTAAATGCCAGTGTTTAATCTCAGCACCACTGCTACTAGCAGAGAGGTCTTGGGCGAGTTACTCAAACTTTCTGTGCCTCAGTTTCTTTATCTTGCTGCTGTGAGGCCAGATGTAATATGTACAACACGGGAAAAGCTTAGAGCAGAATCTGGTACACAGTAAGCACTAAGAATTATTTAAGTATTAGCTCTAATTACTGATGTTAATGCTGTTAGTTTCAAGTCCCAAGTAACTAGTTTTATACAAATCAAACTATACAACCACAGTTATCAAGAACTCTATAGTTAGGCAACAGTTCATATCCTTTAATTTGTAAAACCTCAATTTTATATGTATAACTGCAACATCAGAGAAAAAGTTTAGACAGCAATTTCACTACTATATATATTCTATAGAAACAATAACCAGACTGGGTTTTAAAAATATAGTGGAGTACGACATACCGTTTCATCTTAGTTAAAAATGCATTAACTAAATCTGCTTATATTACACCTTAGATAAACCCCAAAATGATATAAAGTAAAAAAGCAAGTTATAAAAGGTCAAGTGCAGTATGACACCATTAATGTCAGCTTTAAAACACAAAAACAAATTGTTTATAGACACATTCTTATGTAGGAAAAGTATAAAAACAGGCATGGGAATGATCCACCCTGACAGTGGAGTAGCAGTGACCTCCAAGGGTAGGGAGGGAGGGAGGGAAGGGATGTAAGGATGGGACTCTGGGACATTTGATCCCTTAATTAAAAAATAAGATGGAGATTAAGCAAATATGGCAAGCCCGCACGCAGCAGCAACAAAGACCCAAAGCAGCACCCCCCCCCCAAAAAAAAAGCAAATATGGCAAAACGGGGAAGAACTTAAATCAGGACAGCGAGTACATGACTATCATATTATGTTTTATTTTTTCAGTATGCTTGAAATATCTCAAAATGAAATTAAGTTTAAAATTTTTTAAATTTTAATGCAAGAAATTTAATAATTAACTCCATGCTAAACTGTAAGATTAAACGCCATCAATTTTCTGCTATGGAATCATGATTAAATTGATCTGTCTGACCTCTGAAAACCAGAAAAGAACTAATGCCACTGATTTAAAACAGAATAGCACTCCTTGATTCAACAATTCCAATTCTAAAACCGTACTCTTAGGAAGTAATTAAGAAAGTGAACAAAGATATTCATTACATAATTGTTAATATCAAAAAACCGGAACCAGGGCTTCCCTGGTGGTGCAGTGGTTAAGAATCCGTCTGCCAATGCAGGGGACATGGATTCAAGCCCTGGTCTGGGAAGATCCCACATGCCGCAGAGCAACTAAGCCCGTGCGCTACAACTACTGAGTCTGCGCTCTAGAGCCCGTGAACCACAACTACTGAAGCCTGTGCGTCTAGCGCCCATGCTCTGCAACAAGAGAAGCCACCACAATGAGAAGCCCGCTCGCCACAACTACAGAAAGGATGCTTGCAGCAACGAAGACTCAACACAGCCAAAAATAAAATAAATAAATTTATTAAAAAAAAAGAAAAAAAGGAACCAACCTAAATGTTCCTCAATAGGGAATTAGTTAAATAATGGTACTTAATGGAATACCATGGGGTTATAAGAAACATGGTTAAATATCTGTATATAACATGGAAACATTTCCATTTCCACGATGGTTTAACAATTTTAACAATCATTAAACAAATAAGCAAAGGAATAAACACACCCGATATCCCTAACCTCTCCTTAAGCCTGGTTAACTCCTTAAGGCTAAATCTGTTTAAAAAGACAGACTCAAAAGATGTATGCATCCCTAAGAGTGGTACATAATAGATGTTCAATAAATGTCAATTTTTTAAAAAAGCACTAAACAGGAAAGCATATTTAGCATGATTCAATTTAGGGGAAAAAAAAAAAAAAGCATTTAAAAGCACACACATTTCCATGTGTATCCAAAGAAAAAAAGTCTTGTCTATACACCAAAATGTTAATATGGTTAATGGAGCATAGAAACTGGAAAGGATTGTTTTTGCTTTCCTTTTTCCCAATTTCTTTTATTTAAAACGAAACCAAAACCTTTTTAAACATGTAAATTAAGAGAGGAACACATTTCAATCCCAGCATCAGCTCTGTCATTTCACTGCTACTTTTTGCCTTTGATACAAATAATTATCAGAAACTTCTAGGAAAAAGACTGACCTAAGCAAATCAGTATTACTCTATTTTACAGAAAAACAATGAAGATGGTTTGGTCTCACTTTAAAAGTTTATCTAAGGTTGTAACAATTCTCAATTTAACCCGGTGGAGTACAATAGACAGTGCCCACAATTCCCTAAGTCACTGGAAACCTATATTGTT